CCCATCAGGCTATGGATCAAGATGCCTGTCTTGGCTGCTGACCTTCTCTCACCAACATGCTCTTATTATGAACAACTTAGAGAAAAGAAATCCAGAGTCAAAAATTAGCATAATGTGGGTGAAAAAAATCCAGACTAATTCATTTCATTAAGTACTCTGTTCTATTACTTATGTAATATTTTTAATGTGGCATTTATTATTAGTTGTACACCAGGATTGAATGGTGAAGATACAGGAAAATGTCACACACAGAGACATAGCAGAAAAGGCAATTGCAAAGAAGTATTTAAATACTCTGGTAAAGGGGCCACAAGGTACCTGAGTGCATAAAGAAGGGATAGTGGAAAAGTCAAGGAAGATGTCCCTGTAAAAGCAACGTATCAGCCAGTACCTAAATGATAGGCAAGTGATAGCAGGAGATGAAGGATGAGTGTACCAACAGACAGAACATCTATGCAAATGGCCAATAAAAGTTCTTCTTGTCAGAACTGAGAGAATCATTCAAACACAGAGAAATAAGTCTGAAAAAATAATAAAGACAACAGGATGTAGGGACTTATAAAACAGAAACATAGCATTGCCTTCTGAGCCTACAGAAAACAAACCAGAATGCAACTCCCATATATCAATCAGATGTGTCTAGGTTTTGCAGTGGTAACAAATAATCCCTAAATCTCAGTAGCTTGGCACAACAGAAGTTTCTCACTTCTACCAGAACTACATACACAACATGAGTTGGAGGTGGGGGCTTTACCCATCAGGATCATTTCAGGGACTCAGGCTGACAAAAGTTCCATCTCCAAAAATCCTTCAGAGTGACCTAGGCAGGGAGAACAGAATATAGCCATGCAGCCCAGATTCTCAAAGCTTTTCCCCGAACGTGGCACATAACTGCTTCTGCCCGTGTTTCTTTAGCCAAAGCAAATCATATGCCCACCCCTAACTTCAAGAGGGCAGCAAAAGGCATCCCTTCTATGGACAGAAAGGAGAAAAGACCAGAAATATGTGGCAAACTGCACTGACATGAATGTCCCCTTCCTCTTTCCTTGTGGTTAATTATTAATAGAAACTTATGTTGATAAGTAAGCAAACATGTTTATATGTATGTCTAAAAGTAAGTAATGATTACTCCCTTACATCAGGTATAGCAAATAGTTCTTTTCCAAATGCCTTCACAAATTTACCTGAACCACAAGGTGTCCCCATTGAGGTAGGGCAAGTATTATATGCCTATTCGATTAACAAGGAAAATGAAGAGAAAAGAGATGAAGAAGCCCTGCCAGTCTCATTCAGAGGTGGAATAGAACCAGACTCCTTGCCCCCTATCTGTTGATTTATCCATTTTAATTCTATCACACCACTACTAGAAAAGGAGCAAACAGAACTGAATATAGCCAATTTCTGCAGAAACCTGAGATACCTGTTTTTCCTGGGTTCCCAGCAATGACAAAGGTAACTAGGACAGGCATCCTGTTCTCCTAGTCTATACTCAGCAAACATTAAGTCCCTGGCTCTAAACCATACTAATGAGATGAAGTTCTACAGTGCCACTGGGAAAGTTCTGAATCCTCCGGGATTGAAAGCAGTTAGAAAAGTTGATTCTTTGTAGGTTCACAATTCTGAAAGTAATTCACTGGAGTTTTCCTGTCTGCTTATAATTGCAAAGTTTGAAATGGAAGCATTTGCAAGGATAACTAAACCACACCAATATGATTCCCTGAAGTAGCACTTTACTAGTGAATGCCATGGGCTAACTAAGCTAGCTGATTGGAGGATTGAAATGTTTTTCAGCCAATTCAAGGAAACTCAAAGAACATCAATTTCAATGGATTGGTCTGTATGATGGAGCTTATAGGATTATTAGAACCCATGCAGATAATGGACTTCATGCTTCACAAGTTAGTAACTACCAAGGCACTTTCTGAGTCCTTTTTAACTTCTTCAATCATTGAATCTCTTTGTGGGGAAACAGGTCCACACACCATAAAGGAAGAGTATATAATAACTGAATATAGAACACCATGTAATGTAAAAATGCCACTTTTTTTCAAGCTACCAAAGTTTGTCCTCATCATTCTAATAATTATTATTCCAAACTATTAAAAGCCCAGCTACAATAATGTCCAACTTTAAAAAAAGAAATGGGTAACACAAAATGTTATGTGGTGAGTACATAAACTCTCAAATATGTAAGTGGGCATTTGAAATGTTAGAAAATGGAATAAATAAATGGCTTTCCCAGAAATAAATTAGGTTGTGGCAAATGCCATAATCTTCCCACACACACAGACTTTTGCCTCTTGCAAAGATTTCAGATGATAAATCCAAATAAAATCCAGCAATTCTTATTAAATGAAACTGAAATCAGAAGCTTAGCCTAGACTCAAACACTGACTGAGGTCTCCATATACCAACTGGCCCTGAATGCAGGGTGTGACTTAAATTTAAAAAAAAAAAAAGAAGAAGAAGAAGAAGAAGGAAAAATGTACTGAGCCAGTGGCCTGCACTCTGAAATCTCATGGGTGACTTGGAGCAGTCTTCATTTCCTGCTTTCTTCTGAGGGTGATTTAGCCTTAGCTATTTCTAAAGGCTTGGGAACAGAGATAAAGATTCTCTCGCTTCCTGCCCATTTCTCCATCAGTTCTGAGCTATATATCTGGGGTCCAAGACATATGTGTCCTCATCCTGGATATTGAATTCTGTGTTCACCTTATATATCACTCACTTGCTGCATTTCATCACCATTTTTTTTTCTTTCTTTCTTTTTTTTCCCCCTCCCTCCATTTGAGAGAGGCTGCCAGGCCATTTCAAGGCATGAAGATGAAAATGAATCTAAGTTGAGTACAGAGGCTACCCTCTTTGGAATATTTAAATGAGATAAACGATGCCAGTCTGAGCACTAGTTCCCTGACATATTGGAGCACCAAGAGCCATGTAGAGCTGTCACTCAGAAAAATGACTTCCAAGCCACGACCCTGCTGTCCTGCAGTTCTGCCACCTCCCACCTCCACCCACAGTAGCACATGAAAGTGCATTTCTTGCAGGAGGTGAGAAGACAAGCCCATCCATACTGCTTAGGCCAAATCAACTAAGAAAAGGTATTCCCTTAGAATACGCGCGCACACAATAACCCAAGGTTTGAGGCAAGGGACTGAAACCTCGGCAGTGTCTTCGACAGAATGGATGTGGATTTGTATTCGTGGCAAATGCCCCCAATAGCCAACAAAGCTGCCAAGGGTACATGATCCCTCTAAATTGCACTATTGTATTCAAGCTGTCATTTTTCATTTTTAAAACCAGGATCCCTTCAGGTAATCGGTAACCTTGAAAAGAACTGAACGCTAAAGCACGGGTCTATTGAAGGTCCTCTGAGAGACTGGAAAACTTGGTGAAAAAATACAAACATCCGTGCCCACGCAGCACCCTCCGCCTCCTCTGGTGTTCCTCGTGCTCTTCTTCTATCTTCGCCTTGAATGTCTCACAAAGTTTAGACAGGTTTAGGTTATCACTCAAACGCTATGACTCAAACTCGGGAAAATTGTTCCTGTAATGGAGTTCTCAATTTATTGGTCAATTTCACCTTGATTTTGTGTCACTGTTAGCTTTGCTAGCCCTTCAGCTTGTATTACATGCTCCAAAAATATGAAACATTTTCAAATATTTTAAATATCACAGATAATTTTATTCAGCTCATAATCTCCTTCTAGAAAGATAAATAAAAATAATTTAAAAAAAAAAATAAAGGAGACATTGTTCTCCGCACTTGTCTTTTCATACACAGCTAAAATCTGCCACCTTCTGGATTTTCCGCAAAGGCTATGACAGTCACTAGCCTGCTTTTCTTTAGCTCCTGCTCAGATATTCTTTAGCTACGTAGTGACACTGCCATCTAGTGGGCATTTCCTAGACTATTAATTCAGCAGAAATGTATGAAAGAACATGGTTTTTTAAAGGAGGAAGCAAATATTTAGAGCAATTTACTCAAATTACAATGACCAAAAGAAAACAGACCATCTACAGTGTATTGAGAGTTGAATCTGAAATTCATAATTTATAAAAATAAATTTGCAACACGAAGAGGATATTTGTGCTCTAATTAATACAGCCTCATATGAAAGATGGGTTTTTACTTCAAATGGCAATAAACAATGCCCACATTAGAACCACACTAACTTCAGTCTCCACCTAAAAGAACAGGGAGAAATGGTGCTGTTTCTCAGTGTCTTTATCTCCTATTTCTGAGAAATAGAGTAAGTCATATTTGTTGTCTAAACTCAGCACTAATCTTGCAATGAAAATAAGATCAATAGTTAAAAAAAAAAAAAAAATTGTAGGCTCTGCACTTGAGGCCCCTCCAGGAATTTCTTGCATGGGGACAGCACTGGAGACCTGGCGTCCCAGGCATTCTGCAGTCTCGTCACCAGGGATCCGGCGCTGTGAGAGCAGAATGCAAGATCAGATGGGGCCCTACTTGTGATGTTTCAAGGTTGTAATTTCACTGCTTTCTCCTCTCGTATGTTTGAAATCTCCCCCGAGTCCTGCTTTGGTAAGATGAAGGGGTTGGTGGGGGGGCATTTTTCCTCCCCCACGTCAAAAACAGTCAGTGCAGCTGTGCGCTCTGGTTTGGTGGGTTGTCAGGAATTTGATAAACTATCTCAGCTGCTGTAAATCTACTTTGCGCTTGAAACACAGTAAAGTATATACTGTATATTCGCAATCTGGCACCAAATTTAGTTTCGCAAAATCAAAATCAGTTTACAGTTTTTACCGATGGGGAGAAATGAGAAGCGCGCCATCATCCTCATCCTTCTTAGTGTCTTCTTTCCCACGGCTTCCAGCCCTGCCTCATCTTCACACACCCTCTGGCCCGGGACAATTACCGGAAGCCATGAGGCTTCCTGTGGTCATGTGATGCTGATGTGGGATCACTGATTGGCTCCCCTCTGCAGATGTACAGGTAGCCTCGGGTCAGAGGTCAACCCCATAAAGGTCACCACAGAGAAGCCTTTTCCTTGGGGCCATCTCATCTCTCCTCTTTTGACTTTCTGTTTGTTGTTTGTTTTGGGCGGAGCGGAGCTGAACACAGAAAATAAGTCGGTATGATCGCCCCCAAAAAAGAAATGCTGCATCTGACGCCAGCCTCTAACCTCACAGTATTTTAAAATTTCAAAACACAAGCAGCAGAGGCTTGGTCTGGCCCAACTCCCAAGCCGTTTGGGAAATAGAGCACAAGGTTTCGGTAATGCTTCCGGCCAGGGTATTATTAGCAAGGCCATCTCCAGGCAGGTATTGATCACAGAGGAGCTGTTACCAGGTATTAATCCCTCTCTATCCTTTCTCCCCCCCCCACACACACACACACAGGTGACCCACCCATATAGCTGTCCCCAGGTCAGACTCGAAGGGGTAAAAGCACTAGCAGCTTGGGGTGGCTGGATGAGGAAAGGGGCACTGTATTCAGACTAGCAGCCTCAAGGCTTTGGTGACATTTTGGCTGCATATGGATAAGGCTTAAGGTTTTAGTTTCTGCTTGCTGGTGCCCTCCCTGAAGTGGCTCTCGCCTTCTCATCTCTGGAGCCATAAGTGGTGTCCTCACAAAGCTCCATAGCTCACCACTGTCCCCCTCCAAAAGGGAAAAATAAAGCAGAGATCAGGAAGATTATTTCTGTTGGCTAAATCTCGGATGCTGTTCTAACTATCAGCTAATCGGATAAATTAGCTATTGTTAACAGGTATTAGAGACCCAGGCTGGAGTCACGTACAGGTTCTATGGACAAGATATCACAGCAGCAGCTACCCACAGTGGGCTATGCTGGTGGCCAGAAGAGGAGATGGGGGCTTAGAAGGTGCTGTTCCTGGAGAGCAAGCCTGCTGGCGAAGATCATCCACTTCTAAGTGTTACATAAATACGTCCCGATCATTCTTCTCTGTCAAACTCTGCGCCAAACAACAAGGATTCAAAACATTTTCTGGATCCAAGGAGCTCTCAGGCTAGAAGGAGAAACAACACTTATATAACTAACTGCAGAACAACACAGGAAGTAGAAAGAACAGAGAAGTGTGTGAGTGAAAGGAGTAATTGTTTTTTCTAGGAAGGGTCAGAGAAAACCTCACAGAGCAGGTGATATCAGTAGGGCCTTAAATAACATAAAACAGGGAGGAAGGGAAATGATGACCATGTAGGAACAAAGGTGGGAAGTCCAGGGCACCCACGCAGGCCCAGGGAGTGGAGGCAGCAGAGTGCCGAGGTCACCATGGTGGTGTGGGGGCTGCAGGGGCCACGTGGTCCATCCCCGCTGGAAACTAAATGTCTGACCAAGAAGTGGACAATAGGGTGCAAGAGGGTGCTGGCATAATTTTTCAAGCCAGGAAGTACTTTAGAAATTGCCTTTGGCAGTAGGGATGAGACAGGAAAGAGGCTAGGGACAGGAAGACCAGGTAACGCCGGTGATCTGGGTGAAAGACAATGAGACCTTAACTATGGACAGAGAACAAGACATAGTGTGTAAGAGAGAGATCTGGGAGAGAAGTCTGAAGCATCACTGAAAGAATCTCATTGGAGATGAAGGCTACAGACAAGATGACTAACTCGGATAAAACGAGAGGATGGGGCAACCACACATGAAGAGGGAGAAAGCACAGTTTGAGGTTCCAGTCATAATAAATTTGGGCTCAGATATGCTGCATTTATGGGGCTTTTGTAATGTGTCGTGGGCAACTGGAATCACAGGTCTGAAGATCAGGTGAGGGGCTAGTCGCACAGGTCTGGCCCTGTAGAAACGTAAGCTCCATAACTGTTTAGTTCAGGAGCACATCTCAAGCCTAGAACAGTGCTTGGCACATGTTAGGGGCTCAATAAATATTTGCTAAACAGATGAGTGCGTCTGATGCTCAGCAGCCTATGGGAGGCAGCAGAGTGCAGTGGGGGTGGGGAGATCACTCAGAGACGGCAGAGCAAGGATATGGTGGCTTCACAGGGGCATCATAGGAATACAGATGACATTTTCGATCAGTTTGCTGTGAAAAGGAGCGAAGAAGGACTGTACCTTGAGGTTTCTTTAAGACAGGCACAGTTGTACAGTGCATCCATCTACGTCCTAACAGACAACAGAATTCTATTCAGATAGTTCCAATAAAGAGACTTAATGAAAGAACAGTTTATAGAGGTCCAGACACAGTTAAGAGGACCATAAAGAGTGGCATAGTACTGAAGCTGTGACAGCATCAGGGACAGATGACAGTGGGAAACCATTATTGTTCCCGGGTCTGGAATGGGAGGAAATAGTGTTACCAGAGTCCAGTGTGAGCTAAAGCCTTGGAACAAGGGCGATCAGGTGGGAGCTGCAGCTGTAGAAGGGCAAAGCCACTGCCAGACCATGGTGCCAAAGCAAGGAGTCAGTGGGGAAGAAAAATCCTGACGTAGCCCTTCTCCTGCCTTCTGATCTCTTGCCAAAGCCTCCATAGATAGCAACTAACTGGAAACCAAAGGGCAAGGGCGTAAGTTGATGCAGGGCCTGGGGCCAGTCCCCTGAGGGACAGAGCAGGACAGGGAAGGGAGGAAAGGGTAGGTAGGGCAGGAGGAGAACTACCAACACATAGATAGAAGAAAAATAGCCAGGAAAGCTGGAAAGCTTGCAGGTGCAAGAATGAGTGGACACAATTGCTGGAGTGAAGGGACCTAACCATAATATGGCAAAATACAGGCTTATAAAGACAAGAAGTTCAGGACAAGATAGATTTGGACAACACCAAGCCCATGACCACCCTGAATGCCCCTTCTCTAGGTGCCAGAAGTAAGTGCTACATTGAGATCGCCCTTCCTGTCTTCCAGGATGACACTGATGCTGTGAGTTTCAGGACTTGGCTCAGCTGGCTCATCCCGGGGCCACCTCCAGGTATATCCGTGGGAGCTCTCCTTCCTCCTGGTACTACCAACACCTGCTACCTCTCTGGAACAACAGATGCTGAATCTTTCTAGTGAGACAAGCAGAGACCTCCAGAAGTGTCACTACCAACACAGGTCTTAAAGCTGAGTTTTTACTAGCACATCCAGCCCAAACAGCTGTCTGCGAAGTGCAGCCTGCCAGATACGAAAATAGCTTTCGTTGCTTTGGATGCCTTCACAAGAACACTAGAAAGTCACTGGGGCTGGGTGCAGTGGCTCATGCCTGTAATCTTAGCAGTCTGGGAGGCCGAGGCGTGCAGATTGCTCGAGGTCAGGAGTTAGAAACCAGCCTGAGCAAGAGCAAGACCCCGTCTCTACTATAAATAGAAAGAAATTAATTGGCCAACTAATATATATAGAAAAAAAAATTAGCCGGGTATGGTGGCACATGCCTGTAGTCCCAGCTACTTGGGAGGCTGAGGCAGCAGGATTGCTTGAGCCCAGGAGTTTGAGGTTGCTGTGAGCCAGGCTGACGCCACGGCACTCACTTTAGCCTGGGCAACAAAGCGAGACTCTGTCTCAAAACAACAACAACAACAAAAGAAAGTCACTGAATTTTAGGTAGGGAAGAACTGATGCTTAGGATGATTAAGAAACTTTAAGGGCATGACTCCAGAGCCCAAGCTTGGAACCCCTTCTTTCAGACAAAAGATATTCACTGAGCATCTATTATGTGCCAAGTATAGTTCTAGACACTAGGAATTGAGAAATAAACAAGGCAGACAGATTCCCCACCCTCCTGGAGCTCACATTCTAGGTGGAGTGGACAAGAACACAAGCAAGTATAAATAGATAACGATCACCTCCAATAGAGGTAAGGCCGTCTTCCCAGAGCCTTGTTGTACAGCTTTTGGACACTCTCCAATGCCGAGCTTCAAAAACCCATGATCACAACACAAAACCTTGCTGGTTAAGAAGGCAACACACCCACACAGCAGGTCTGTCTGCTGTGTTTGTGCTGCATCTTCCCACCAAGCACTTGAAATGTGTTAAATAATCATTGCCATTCCACTGCAAGTGCATTTCTCTTTTATTTTAATCCTATTATAGAATTTTTTGATGGCAACCTGCTGTTAGAGTACATCTAACTATGTTAAAGCTCCCCAGGCCCTGAGCATGAAAGAACCTCTTCAGAACACACGCTAGGACAGGTCTACCTTGTTAGCATGGAAATGAAAATAAAAAGCACTGCTTTGGGGCAAGGAGGAGGATGGGTATTCTAATATCAATGCCTAGGAGGTGATCTCTCCTTGTTCTCCCCTTCGTGCTCCAGGTGCTAGTGGCTTGATGGTGGCAAGGATTCTTTTCTGTATTCTATCCGGTGCCCGGTGCTTGGTGTTTAAGCCATGATGACTAGTAATATAACTTGCAACTCTTTAGCTAAAGGTCATCTCTGCTGCTCTTCTGCTCCAGTTGCTTTTTGGTACAAGGGAATCAGTCGTCAGTGTAACCTACAGGCTCACTCCTGAACTTTGGCAATGTTTCATTAACAAAGTGGAAATAGATGTCATTTCAACATGCAGGCGAACCTCCCCCTCCACCTGCAATTATGCAAATGGAGAGCAGCCCTGGCGTGGCACAAATCATTGCTTCCTAGAGGATATTGAGTTCATATTCCTTAAACAAAGTGACACTTGGGGGTTGCCACAAGAAGTTGCATTCTAATGCACTCTATTTCACTATTATATTAGTCTATAATTTCTATTTCACTGGAGAAAATAACAACACACAGGTAATACTTTATTGGCAGTAAAAATTAGAAAACACCCAAAGCACCTTGGCTTTCAGGGCCTCCATCGCTGTGATCAAGGGAACATATAATGATGCTGCAGATAAAATTAACAACTAAAGTCCACTTGGATAAGAGACATGCTTGCTCTTGTTTGTGGCGGTGACGGTCATTAACCACTCCTCACGTGTTCTGAGGTTCCTCGCTGATACATGATTTATCCCCTTGGAGAACACTATAGAAAGCCATACTGAGTGAATCCTTCAACTCAGGGGTGATATATAAAATATTAGACATGAGCCAATCGTGATGAACACTGGCTGCACCAATGCATCTGTCAGGAGCAGGAGCCCTGCCTCAACCCACAGGAGGTTATTCTGCAAATGGGAGCGCCTACTCATTTAATAACAAGCTCTTCCTAAGTGCATCTTTGGGAATCAGGGGCCCTGAGCTAACTGTCAGTGATTCACAGAATAAAAACATACGCCTCCCACCCTCAAAGAGCTTAGAATCTAGTAAAGAATATAAAACACTCATAAAATATAATTTATACTGGCATAATTGTCCTAAGAGGGTTATGTACAAGGAGTCCTGGGTGCTGAGAGGAGGGAAATTATCCCTGGCTGGAGAAAAGAGTTGTATGCACCTTCATGGAAGAGGCTGTATATCAAATGGGGTTTGAAGGGTAGATGGGATTCAGACATGAACAGCTAAGGAAAAGAGCTTTACAAGGGGAAGGAAAAACTGAAGTGACGAACTCAAACATGAGAAATGATGGGGCAGATTCAGAGAACGATTCCGCATGTCTCTATCACAGGCCTCGTGAACCCTGGTAATAAGAGACACAACCGGGAAGGTAGATTGGGGTCACATCATAATAAGCCATGAACGCCAGAGTCAGGAACTGGGACTTGATTCTGTAGGACTTGGAGCACAGTCAAAAATTATTTCAGCAGGAGAGTAGCATGATCAGAGCTTCATCATCAATCAACTCAACATTATTTTAACCTTAACGGGTAATGGTGGCGGCAGGCTGACCCCAGAATGCCATGCTCAGCTGCAGAAGGTTGAACGCTGGGTTACACGTGCCTCTCGCACCTGAGCCTGGTGAAATAACTGCTTGTTCAGGCTGTCAGTCACCAACTTGCTCGGAGCACCCTCTGTGCGGGGACAACGATGAACGCTTCTCTTACTTAGTGCTTAGCAGCAGGGTTTTGCTCTGCCCCACAGCTGTCATCCAAGACCAGGACAAAGAAAAGGCTTAAGATGATCGAGGGAGACATCTGTGGACCCGCCCATTTTTACTGTATATTTCTGTAAGCTTGGCTGACGATGCCGGTCAATGTTGATTTTTCTGCATGAAATAGAAAAGCAGAACTCTGTTGATTTTATGTTTTATGGCTGATCGATGGGGGTCAGAGCGAGGCCTTTGAGAGATGCTGAGTGGGAGGAATGGAGATGCTTTTGATGGCCTCGTTTGTGTTGTGTCTTCTTCTGGGAAAGAGGGAGGTCAAGGTGAGTCCTTCTTGCAGACTCACGTGGCTCAGGCAATGTCACCCCTGGGCTGCAGAGGCAATGGTGGGGGCGTTTCCAGCCAGGCCGAGCAAGGAGAGGTGACATTTAAGGGCTTTTGAAGAAACACTGCACTTTTGGCAAAGGGACCCCAAGCTGCACCTGCGTTTCTGCAGGCTCTTCACTTGCTTTTTATATCCTCGAAAGCTGTGTCTAGAATTGCTGAAAGGTGGAAAATCTGCACACCCCTTAGGCGTTAGAAAAGACAACAAGGACGAGGAAGAATCTGGTGAAAGCTCAAGAGACCTGGCTCTGCGGTAACCAGCTCTGCATAATTCTAGCCCTGGCCATGGTGCCTCTGGCCACACCTCTTGATCTTTATCTCTGCAATATTACCACAAATAATCGTGACCAATTATTAAACACCTTCCATACCAAATTCTCTGATTATGTATCATCACATTTAATCCTTGCAATAGCCTCTAAGGAAGTGATCATTGTCCTTATTTTACAAAAGAAATTGGAGTTTGACAGGTTAAGTAGCTGGCCCAAGGTCACACAAAAATAAGCAACAGAAAAGATTTGAGCTTAAAATCTCATGCTCTTAATAATTTGCCATGCTGTCTCCTCTACCTCACTTTGCTTGCTCGTGTAATGGGGACAACCATTGTTAAGAATCAAAACCAAACTTCACAATAGGGGTAGACAGACCATATACACCATGAAGGGCTGAACAAATATTAAGACATCAGTGCTCTGAAGTCCACTCTGCCTTTGTTTTACTAAGAACATGCAGGATTTAGATATGGATGTGCTTTCAAAAGCCAAAAATATGATGCTAAGTGAAGTGTTACCATTGTAAAGATTTTTTTTTTGCTATAATATATAGCACACAGCAGGGGCTACCCTGGGATCCGTGGGAGGCATCTGAGTGGGGAAAGAGGTTAAATGGGCCTCTTGAACAAAAGCAAGAGGAAAGAGACACGTACAGAGACACGTCTGCTCAATTTGACACTGCAGGAGGAGACGTGGTCCCTGACACAGCGTCGCTCTTCTCTCTTCCGCCAATTTAAGCTTTTTTTCCATTGTTCTGTTCCCACGCGGTTTGCATGTAAAAGCAGCACAGTGTGGACATCATTAAAAGTATTGTGACTGGAGGCTGAAATGAGACACTGATCGTCCTATTAAGCAACAGATTTCATAAACAAATGCAGTTCATTCTGCCTGCAGCCTGACATCGCTGTCTGAGGAGCACTGCTGAAAATAATTTATCTACTAGCATTCTGCTTAAAGTTTCAGATTCCAGAGAGCCCCACTAAGTAAAAAAAATAAAAAGACAAGCAAATGGTTTGCTGAAGCCACCCAGTGCTTAGCAAGCACCCCCCACCCGCATCACCCTCCACGCTCGGCCCCAGAAAGCCTCGGAGTGTCCCTGCCGCTGTTAAACCGCCGTGGCTACAAAGCCACCGGTGCAGCCAACCAGAGCTGCGGCCTCCCGAGAAATGACAGATTTAAAGGAAGAAATACTGCGCACTTGCTGGAGGCGAGTTATTTTAATATAATGCCGAGATGACAGCTCTCCACATTTAATCATCAGACTCCTGATTTTTTTGCTACGACATTAGAATTTCTCACAATTTGGGAAAATGTTTCTTTTCCATCCATGCCTGACAGTTGCATGTTTGCAAGAAGTGTCTGTAAACCTCTCCAATTATTTTTAATAAAATGTAAATGATTGCCTACATAAGCCTTCTCTTTTCCAACAGCCCCTGCCTGCGGCGAAGGGTGGCAAGTGGCTGTGCTTTCGGGCCAGGCCTCTAAGGCTTTGTTGTTCTCCTCGTGGTATTAACCTGCCACTTGGCAGGCTGGCCTCTCTCTTTGTCACCTGCATTATGACCATTTCTTTTTTAATAGTGTCTGTGATCAACAGCAGTCAGAGAGGCTGCATTTGGCTGTCTCTGCCTAAGTGGGCTAAAGCAGCGTGGCTGGTGCCCCGTCACAAGCCCAGCTCCATCCCAAGGTCTGGCAGCCATTACAATGGACATTTGCATCATTCGCTAGTTTCCTAATTCATGCAAGGTCCCTTAAGTTAAGTGAGTGCTGTTCTCACACCCGTTCCTTTTTTAACAGATGAGGAGCTGGAATGGAGACATGTTATATCTTCATGAAAGACACACGGCACGATGGGACCACTGCCAGGACCCAGGCCCAGCGTGCAAGCTACTCCATTCATTTCTTCTTTCGGGAAACTTATCAGTAAGCATCGACTGTCTTGAGGCCCTAAGGAGGCAAAAATAAATAAAACATGGCTCCTTCTCTAGAGGCGTGAACAAGGTAATGGATAGACAAGTAAATACATAATTTCAGCACTACGCAAAAGGCAAAGCAAGCAGGCGAGCGCAAAGTGCCGAGGAAACATTTCCACGGCTGCGTCTGCCTGTGGGTTGGAGAGGGACTCAGAGAGGACAACTGCGGAGGCTTAGGTTGGAAAAGGAGGAAGGCCTCTGCCTGCAGACGGATGCAGCCTTGCAGACAAGGCAGGAGACATGAAAAAGTGGGGTGTGTTTCCAGACCAGGCAGTTTTAGAGTCCAGGCCCCTGGATGGAAAAAGTAAGCAGAAAGCAAGACTAGGGTCACAAGGTGGATGGCTTTAGTGGCCTTCTAACTATTGAGGGTCTAATACCTGCCCCAACACAGGCTGGAATACTTTTTTGTATGTCAGAAACCCTTCTCTCTCTGCCCCTGAGAAAGGGCAACTCAAAATATCTGGCCGGTGGGCAACACCAGCCCGTTGAGTGAGGTTCCCACATTGCCCCTGTGATAAACTTACCAGGGTGCCCTCCAAAGGACAAAGCAGGCCCTGAGACTGAAGACTTCACTTCTGGCACCTGACTAAATAGAAGAGAACTTTGCTTTTCTGCAAGGAATGTAGAGAAACTCAGTCTATTCCTGAACTGTTGAATAATTTCTCACTTGCCCGTTAGTGCTCAGCTCACCTTCATTCCCAGTCTTCTCTACTGGGCTTTGCCAAGCTGCTCCTTATTACCTGCAGCGTGGGTCTCTCAGAGGCAATGAGACCATTATTAGTACCCCTTCCCTGTCACCTGAAAGAGAAGTGTTAATATGCATCCCCGGAAGCCTGACGCACAGCAGCCACGGAACCGGTGCTGGAGTGCCCTGAGAACCACCACCTCCCTCTGATCTCATTGTCACCTATTTCTGAAGTGCAGAGCTGGGACTTGAGAAGTGGCGCTCTTGATAATAGCAGGAGGCGTCTTGCAGATCTGGGTTAGCTTCCTGATTGTACTCTGGGTAAATAATTAGCGCTTCTCTCCAGCGGCCTGTGCTCCAAATCTCCACTCACCAGGGACAACAAGCAGGGGGACGTTCGAGTCCTGCCAAGGATGTCCCTGGGGATGAGTAGCATTCCCTGTTCTCTCACCTGCTGTGTTTGCCACTGGGCCCCTCGCCCGGCACCATGACAGCGCTGATGGGATAGCTCACGTCAGCAGCGCCCACCGATCGCACGTGCAGGCTGCTGCTCTGTAAAGAGGTTGTCCGGCCCAGGCACTCGCCTGCTCCCCAGCAACGTACAAGATCCACTTCTGCAGCCACTAGCACTTGCGCTGTCTTTGCACCTCTCTCCCTTCCCTTTGGATGTGCTAAATTGAGATACAAATGAAGCTGAAAAGAACCCAAATTCTTTGACGGGGAATACACTTCGAAGGAGAAGGAAAGAAAATCTCTCGGGGTGACTATATTTACTCCACCGCAGCTCAGTCTAACCACCGCCGTACACCTCACCACAGGTTCCAAATGAAAATTTGTGAGGGCTATTGAACACACTGCGAGTTTTCAGAGCAGATCCGTGGAAAGTTCCTTAGCACAGCTGCCTGAGTAATTGTGACACATTAGAGAAGTGCGTGGTGTTCCGCAGCCCCCGGCCTCGCACTACCCTGGCCACTCGCCTGGGTGGTGGGCTAGCTGGGGGTTAGGATTCTGCACCACAGCCCATTAACACCAGCAGGGAAACGGCTGCCTGACAACCACATCCCGAGCTGGGCTTTGCAACTTAATCCTGTTTGGTTTAATGGATTTGTCTTCAGAATCAGAGGGGCGCGAACACAAAGGGGATGGAAACAGTGCTGCGGTGATGCGTAGAGCTGGCCCGGTGTGCCTATGGAGTGGGCCGTCTTCCTCTCCTATACCCACACATCCAGAGTGCTGAACTGCAGAGTGTGGACATCCTCCAGGGTCCTTCTCAGCCTGGAAGCAGCTAGAGTGTTTCCCGCCTCCCACCTCTGCTGCATCCCATCCCCAGGACCACCCCCTTCCCCTCCCACATCGGGATCCAATTCAGCAAAGCTCCTAGGCATAAAAGAGATTGAAGGCATTTTAACCTATGCATTTTTTTCTTCAGCTCTTCATTTGACTACACATGTATAAATGTCCTTGTGCTTCCTAATTTACTCAGTGAAGGCCATGGCATGGAATAACAATAATTGTACAAAGTTAGCATCAATCCCAAGCTAACTATGTGCCAGGAACACACTAAGTGCACAACTTGTCATTGCTCTGTCATTCTTCATAATTACCTGGTGAACTAGCTATGGTTATTATGCTCATTTTACAGACTAGCAAACTGAGGCAGGAAGAGGAAATCATTAAGTAGACATTATTGACTGTAGGACTATATGCATTACTTTAAAAATATAATAATAATGATGGTAGTTACCAGAGTTGGAGAACTGGAAATTTCCTTCTGGAGCAGAGGAAAGATATCAAATTTTGGAATGAAACAGACCTGGGTTAAAATCCCAACCCCACTACATACCAGCTGTGAAATTTTACATCATTTTCTTAATGCATCTGGACTTCAAAATAATTGCACCTAAGGTTAGTTTTTGTAAGAATTGAAGATGAAAAAAAAATATGATGGGTTTAGCGCAAAGTAGGCCCTTGACATAAGTATTTGCCACCTTTCTCTGCCCACTCACCTTAGTTCCACATCTCATGAACCACAATATTATCTGTTGAATTGCTTGTGGCAACCCCATGTCACCTTATACTTACTTTATATCTCATTACTAAGATGTATAAATGAAGTGGTGGTATGCCTACCCTCATCCCTACCCAGAAAAGGCATAAGGTAAGGTTGTGAATCACCAAAACACCTACAGTGATTATCTGTGCACAAAAAAGTACTTACAGAAGAAAGTCTTAATTAAGCAGAGCCCAATAGTTAGCTAGAATTTCTCTTCTCTCAATCTAAAGAATTATAAAACAAGAACCATGAAACAGTCTTAAAATAGAATGAGCTAACCTATAAGGTAATGAGCTCCCTTCCAATGGATATATTCAAGCAAAGGCTGGACAACCAGCTGTGAGAGAGGTTATAAAGGGGATTAATGTATGGGCGAAAGATTCAATAAAATCAGAGATTTTTCACATTGTTTTGAGCAGCAGAACATAAAAGAAATAATAGCAGAGCTACTTCAGGGTGAAGAGAGGTGGGAAGCTCTGATCCCTCCACGAAGGCACTAAGGAATCCTTGTAAAGTCTTAGGACTCCACAAAACACTGTATAAACAACTGACCTAGCTGATCTCTAAGATTCTGTAATTCTGTTACTCTAATTCCATCAGGAATTAAGCCAATAAGAAAAACCAACACTTGAGTGATATGTTGCAGTGTGCAAAGTCTTCCCGTGTGTGCACATTATCTTGCAGAGCATGTTACTATGTGAGTTCAGACTGATGCACACTGTGTGGTTTACGGTTCCATACACTTGGTAGCCCAAATAAGGTGAGCATGAAATGATTAAACTACAACAACGGAGAAGGATTCTGGGGGTTTGAAGGAAGGCGTTGAAGATGGGACAAAATAAATATTAGCATCCTCTGCCTTCTGCACAGAAGCAGGGTTGTTTCCAAGTGCTACTCTTTGAGACAAAGCAAATAATGGCTTTTACATTCTCTACCAGTTCTGGGGCCCAAATGAGGAAAACAGCCCAGGAAAAAAAATATAAGAATGTAGAATCCATTTTTTGGCAATAAACATCTGCACCTAGAATTTTGCAGTATGTACTCTTTGGAAGAGTGATGACCTAAAGTCTAGTATTATAAACAAATCTGTGCAATAACAAATCTTAATGGCAATGTGGCAAGAGTTATAGCAATGTGCTTCATGGAAACTCGCATTTGAAGTGGACATTTTGTGCAACTACCAACAGATAGACTGAGATTTGTTTGTGATTTGTAAATTAGCTCTTAGTAGTTATATAGGGAACTTCTCTTTCCTGTAAACATAGGCCTAGTTTTGTGAACTGTATTAATCAAAGTTCTTAATTGAAAATTGAAACTACATTATCCAGTAAATTTAAAGAAAAATAAATTTAATGTAGAACATTCTGAAATATACTACAGGTAAACAGATGATTCTAGAATGAGGTTTCAAAATGATTCTCAAAAATCAGAACCCAGAACTGGGCCATCAAGGGAACTTCTGCCACAGTAACTCAGTCCTGAACCTCTGCTTTGATCTGTGACAGCAAAATAGATTGGTTCCAAATGAAAGCTTCACATGTGTGCATCAAATTAGTGGAACCTCAGCATGGACAGAGCACCAGCTGTGAGCAGGGGCCTGGGAGATGTGATTGTTAGAGTTCCATCCTCTTCAGGACAAGAAGGCAGTTCTAGAAGGGAGTTAGAACAGGTGTAGAAGAAGTCAATCCATACAGTCCTCCACTGAACCAAGACAAAAAATAAAACAAAGAGTATTTGAACAAGACCAAAAAAATTACAATTCTCATAGCCATATTGAGATGAGAGTTCCACTTGTCAATTACTGAAAAGGAACTGGAATGAACACGATCGCTTGTATCCAGTTTGCTGTATTTTATGTGTTTGCTCAAATCTTGATCATACATGAAATAATGTACTCTAGAATGTAGGTTTATTCATTCTCATCTGGTCCTTTTGCTGTCGTTGTAAGATCCTGAACTGAAAGAGTCCCCAGATGGAGGCAGCTTGATGAGTTTGAGAAGATGAGGGTATTAGAGTCAGAAAGACCAACTTCTGAGTCCTGGCTTCAGAACTTGAATAACCTAGGGAAAGTTTGTTATTAAATCTCTTGACATTTCTATTTCCCCTCTATAAAAATGAAAATGTTGCTACCCACCTGTCAAAGTCACTGTGATTACTGAGTGAGATCTTGTGAATAGTTTTTAAAACAGCCTGGCACAGAGCAGGTTCCTGATGAATGTTTGGTTGTTTTCCTCCATCCTTGCTGTTATCATTTAACCAAAGAATTCCAAACTAAAAGTTGTACAAAAATTCTGTCCCCAAGTAAAGCAACATGGTAAATAGTACCCCTTAGGAAATCATACCTGAATTAAGCGTCTTCCTGGCTGAATGTGTTCCTAACAGAAAAACAACTATTTATGTCCACAGTGAACACCTTAAGACAGTTTGAGATCTTTAGGCAGCAAAAAGCTTTCAAGTAACCTTTTTCTGATACTTACTAAAATGGCAAAGTGGCCCTGTAAAAATTTAGTAAGAGTTCCAACAAGAGCATGGGAGCAAGCAGTAGGGCAGAGTAGAAGTACAAAGGGTTTAGTTGGGGAATTGCACCTGTGCAAGACAACAGGGAAACAAAAGCAGGTTAGGGCAGGAAAAGCTTTCAGTCCATGATGTAGGCCTTCTTCAGTGAAAGGGGACAGGAAGGCAACTTGGGTAGTGAGAGCCTCAGACCATGGTGCAATCACTCCTAACAAAGTCTCCACCAACCCCTCTGACAAAGCCTTGGTCCACAGAAATTCCAGAACAAGAATTTCCTGTTAGAGGGACATTTCCTGTTAGAGGTGCCCTGCCTTAGGTGGAATTAAACCCTGGTACGTCCCCTTGGTTCAGGGCTGCCCAGGAAGAGTTGGCCTCACGTTACAAGCTGAAGGGAACCCTGATGACACCAACGATGAAAGTTGCTCTGCTAACTGCAGTTAATAGGGCAAGTTCTTTCCTAAAGAGCAATCTAAGTGGCCCATCTCCCTGACTGCCACAGTTTAAGAGCAATTGAAAATGAATTATTCAAATAGCATCCTATTCAAACATTATCATATAAAAACTGAAAGATTTATTATAATTAGAAGTTGTTGATTTCTTCATCCAATAAATATTGTAATGAGTATTTACTCTGTGCCAGGCTCTAGTCTGGGAACCAGGGTTATGACAAGGATTAAGAATGATAAGGTCCCTGCTGTCATGAAGATTATGTTTTTGTGAAGAAGAAGCAGAAAAACAAACAAACAGTGCTATGTGAAATTATAATAAGGTGATGTGATAAGTAGTGACTGTGTGAATACTTTCAGTTAGATAACTTTAAATTCAATGGTGAATGAGGCCTTCCTGAAAAGGTGATATTGGAATAAGGAATGGATGCCAACCATGCAAAATTCTTGGGAAGCTTATTCTAAGCAGAGCTAACAGCTGATGCAAATTCCTAAGGTGAGAATAAGCATAGACAGAAGAATCTAAAGCTTCTTGGATCCAAGTGGGCAGAGGAATTTAAATTAAAACCAAGAATAACATCTAGATGGGCTTCAGTACTGGGAAGATGATGGCTCCATTATTGAAATGGGAAAAACTAACAGGTTCAATGGAGGGGAATCAAGAATTCTATTTTGGAAATATAATAGGTCAGATATGTATTAGACACTCAAAAGCATAAATGATACAAGATGTGGGAAGAGTAAGGAAGGAAGATGGGCAAGAAGTGGAAA